CAACTACATACATACATACATTGTACATATGTATGCCAATTTTTGATTTGGTTTTTTTCTTGATTTTGTTTTTGTGGTTGTATTGTTTTATTTTATTTGCAATGGCATCTTCAAACTAACAATCAAAGTCTGGACACGCTGCGTATACGTGATAAATAAATCTGCATTGCTTTGCTCTTGCCACAAAACTTTACATACATATATTATATTTTCATTTGCACACTTGTCAACGGTATGTATGTGTGTGTTTGTTTGTTTATAGTTTATATATATATATATATATATATACGTGTGTGTGTTTGTGTGTACATATTATTATTATGCATTTATATTTAATTGTCCTAATAACAGTGTGGAGGCAAAGCATAACAAAAATGATAAGTAACAATTTCATTTATGATTTACATACTATATACGTATAGATGTATGTATGTGTGTATGTATAGTTTTTCTGTTTACCATACAAACGAAAATAAATCGGATTTTTATTGATACATGTAACTCTTCCTCTTATCATATAAGTTGTTATTCATATATTTTTACAGAGCAAAAACTGTGGTTCATTGTTTTTTTTTTACTTTTTCTTTTCGTTTACTTGCGCTCTTGTTTTTTCTTTTCTTTTTTAGTTAGTTTTTTTTGTATTGTTTTTAAACGTTTTAAAGTCAAGATTGAAATATTTATATATATAGTTAATAAAAGTTTATTTTTCTTAATTTTCATTTGCACTAGTTTAACTCTAATAGACTCCGTCGCTGAAATAACAGCATTTGTTAATAACTTTTATAAAGCTCGCAAAATAAAATATGCGAACGCCTCTCCGAAGGATCTAAACCTGAACTAAAGTGTCGGGGATGCTGGGAAAAGAGGCGTGATTGAGTGATTGGCTGATTGGTTGATTGGTTGATCGATTGATTGATGTCATGAAATGATTCAAATATGGAGACCGATTGAATTGAATTCTCATTGATTAATTATTTATAATCCGGGTTAGAACAGGAAGAAGAGATGCATTGAGAATCGTTGTAAATATTTTGGGCAATTGAAGCTGGCTTTATTATACAGCGAAATGAAAGAAAAACAAGCATAGTCACATGGTCTGACGGTCTGGTGGAGCCCCGAGCTCAGTATTTCGTCTTCTTTTTCGTCACATACTCAGTCGATCTGGCATGGCGGAAGGCATGGGCGTGGGCGTGGCATAGAGATGGGTCATATTAACATTGATAACGGGTCAAATTTACGATTAGGCTACGATTCGGCGACAAGAACAAGAGCGAGAACAATTCGGACCAGTGGCAAATATTTGATGAAATAAAATGCCCGCTGCTTTAGTAAAATTTGTTTTAGTTGTTTTGCTTCTGAAGTAAAGCTTTTCGTCATTTCAGAAAAAATTAATTATTTCATAATTAATTTCGTGTTTCGTTTAAATCGATATCTATACGCAACATACATATATATGCATGTGTACATACATATATACAATAATAGCTATTCGCTTTTTGTTTGCTTGTGTTTTCTCTCTTTTTTTTTTTTTTTTTTTTTTTTTTTTTTTAATACATATCACAGATCCAGTACAAATATACATATGTGTATATTTGTTTTTTTTTATCTTTGTTTTTTTTTTCTTCGTTTTCTCTACATTAATTAGAAGATACCGTATAAACCTCATATATTTAACATAACTCAGTGAGCAGGCGCATATGATAATATATATTTTAGTATGTCCAATGTTCGAGTGAGGGGGTGTGAGTATGCATGTGTGTGTGTGGGGGTGTGAAGTATCTATGAATATGCCATATATGCCTATGCATATGTATATGCATGGCGCCGTTGCTTCTCTCTCGATTGCCATGACAAAAAGACGATAAAATGTACGAATTTTGTTGTTTGTATTTGTTGTTGATATTGTTGCTGTTGCTTTTGTTGTGGTTGTGATTATGGAAGGGAAGGCCTAAAAGGGTTTCAGTGTCTTATGCTTGTTCCATTTGAGATAAGTTTCTGCGAAATCGTATTTCAAGAATTCAATGTTATTCTTCATCGTTGTAGTCTTTATATTGCTTGTTTTCTTCTAATCATATTTGTCTCTGTATGTGTGTGTGTGTGTGTTAACGATTTGCCATTAGGTTTGACGGTCTATTATTGCTGTCAATTTGATTTGTTATTTTGTTATTAGCCTGCACTCTTCTGTACGCCTTGCTTCTCTTAAAAATTATTGCATTTTTTTAGTTATTTAAAACTGTAATTATACATTATAAGATAACAAACAAAAAATGTTTTCTTTTATTTTTTGTTTATCATTTGGTTGTTGTTATACTCATTTTTTTATCTTTTTTTTTTCTTCTTTTGCATGTTTCAAGGCACACTAGCATTTTCAACTGTACTTTCAATATTTCAATGTAATATTATTTTTTAACTTGACTTAAGATTTGTATTTCATGTCAATGCTTATTAAAGCATTTTATATGTTTGTCACAATTTTGGGTTTTTGTTTGCATTTTCAGTAAATTTTTTTTTTTTAGAATATTTGTAACTATTTAACTCTTCGTCTGGCGCAAATTTATTATTATTATTCTTATATTATTTATATAAATATTGCACAAATAAGAACAAATGTAGATAAGCTTTAACAATAATAGCAAAAAATAAAAATAAAATAATGTGAACAACTTTTCAACTTATTTGCATAAACTTAGCTTAGGGTTGGGTTTATAATTCATTTAGTTTTTCATTTATTTATTTTTTATTTTTTGAGCGTTTTCAGTGATTGTTTTGAAATTGAACTGAGAGTTTGATTGTTTGATTGACTGACTGACTGTTGATTGACATGATAATGTTGCAGAATTGTTTAGAGTACGCTGTTAGTGGAGCTGTAGTGGTGGTGGTGCTGGTGGTTTGTGAGTGGTTTGGTTTTGGTTTTGGTGAACAAAATGGCTTTTCAATTAAACACATTGAGATTTTGGTTTATTTCGTTTTTGGCAATATTTTTATTTAATTTTTGCTTTTTTCTTCATCTTTAAATTAGTCAATAATAAAAGGGAGCTTTAAACTACATAATATGTGTGTGTGTGTGTGTGGGTGTGTAGGTGTGTGTGGCCATAATAAAACAATATATATATATATGTCTTTATCATTAACTTTACAGGTAAATCATATGGATGTGTTTTAATGAATATAACAAATCGAAGTGTGATGCTAAAATAATTATTTTCGTTTGCTTGTCTAGCATATAAATACAACGGGATATTTTTTGGCCGATTTGTGTGTATGTGTGTGTGGATGTATCCTTTACAGAGCCATTGAAATATTTATTTTAAATTAAAGTTAAAATTGTGATGTATATTCTTCTTTTTTTTTTTTTTTTTTGTGGGGGTGAAGAAGAGCAAATGTAGTACTTAAGATTAGAATGTATGTCAAAAATAATGGTGAACAGAATTCCAAAAACAAAATATAATAGATAAGAGTTATGGTGAATGTAACAATGTGCCAAACGGATTTCTTTCTCTCTTTAAAGGCAATAAAAAAGAAATTATGAAGAAAAAAATTATATATATGGAAGTCAAGGGATCCAGTTGGAACTGGAAACTAAAAAGTCGCACAGACAATTAAAATATATAAGTATGAGGATTAACAAATTAGCATAAAGGAGCATAAAATCAATATCAAAAAGGAGACTCACGTGCGCGCGCAAAACATTAACACCACTTGTATATATTTTGGTATAGTTCGTACCACTCTTTCGATTAAATTAAACAACATTATCATGATCAACATTTTTAACAATATATGTATATCATAATAGAATATTAAGGGCTAAAACGTATTATTTTTATATAAACATATGTGTGTGTATATATATATATATACAGATATAGACATGTATATGTATATATATATAGATATTTAGTGATGGATATATATATACATATTTATATAAACATAGCAATAAGCACAAAAGGGCAACAACAGAAAACAGAAACAGAAACAGAAAACAAGAAACGCAATCAGAATCGTGTTTGAGGTAAAAAGTGTTTCAAATAGTTATTATCACTAGCCTGTCAAGCGTTCATTTCCTTTATCATTTCAATTGTTGTAGGTGTGTATTTATTGTACATATATTTCATAGCGCATATACATGTCTGTGTATGTGTGTGTGTGTTGTGTGTGTGACTGTGTATGTGCGCGTGTTCGTGTCTGTGTGTGTGTGTAGTAAAATATTTACCTTATTTGGACACCATTTTCTTTTTTGTCATTTTTGTTTTCTTTCTCTTTTGGAAAATCACCTGATGTTTTCACTGAAAACGCTCTCATTACACAAACATATCGATTTTCATTTTCATTTTCTTTTTTTTTTAGTCTAATTTACTCGCTTGTGTTTACATGTGTGTGTATATGTGTATGTCTGTGTGTATTTTATGTTATATGAAGACGAGCCAACAATTAGTTTATGAATTGCATACATGTACATATATGCATATAAATATATGTATATGTAAATGTATATATAGATATATATGTGTATATATCTGTATCTAGATTTTAGCTTCTCAGAATGCCAAAAGGAAAACACGCAACATATGACAACAACAAAAAATAAGCAAAGGTATTATTATCCCAAATTGAAATATATATATATATATATGCATGTGTGCATATGCATATATTGAGCGTGGCAAACAAATGCAGCTTTTATATTACAAGGTTTTCTCTCAAATCAAATTTGCTAAGGCTTCGAATTCATTATTTTACTAAGCAATTCTCATCAGAAGTTTCAATGCATTGCTAATGGCTTAGTGTGTGTGTGTGTGTGTGTGTTGGTGTGTGTGTTGGTGTGTGTGTTTGTGTGTATGTGTTTTTATGGCTACTGCTGATGTTATTTGTTTTAAATTAGCTTTTTCTTTCATATTATTATTATTGTATTAGCTTTGTTTTTGTTGTTGTTTTGTTTTTCGTTTAGTTTTTCATTTGCATATTGTATTTTGCTTTTCCTTGTTTAAATAAATGAACCATTTCTTTTAGTTATTTTTATGTTTTTCTTTTTTTTTTCTTTTGAGGAAATACGTTTTGTTTATAGGTATGTTTTATATGGGGGGATAGCTGTTGTTGTTGTTTTTTGTTGTTGTGCTGGTTGCTTGATTGCTTGATTATTAATTCACAACAGTGGTTAATGGAATTTGACGCGCCCTCTTTGTCTCCTCCTCGTTGATTTTTTGTTCAATTAGATACTGCGCTTTGGCAATGGCACTCGGCTGACCAGTTATGGTTACAATGCGATTTCTAGTGCCAGGTGCGAATATGCCTTTTTTGGAAATTTGCACATTTGCGCCAGAAGCATGTTGAATTTCAACTAAACTACGACCGTTCGGACCTGGAATATTTGCATCAGATTATGTTAAATGTGTTGTAATTATTTATATGTGTGTATATGTATGTGTTTGTATATCTGTGTGTGAGTTTAAGTGTTGCTTGGATTGTGCTTGGGTTGAAAGAAAACCTTAAATGATAAAGGACCAACATTAACAAAAAAATAAAAAACAATATACATATTTATATTTATATTCCATTCCGCATGTGTGTGGCCCAACCTAAATATCTATGCAAACTGCGACACTGAGGTAATAATTACTGCGCAAATAAACAAACGAAAATTAAACCCAATAATTGCACTATTCCAATATAATGTAGTATAGTATGCTAGGTATTTACATATTCATCAATATCAACAACAAAAATTCGGTATGACCCTAGGAAAGGTCCTCAACATATCGCCTACTGCTAACTGAAAACTATTTGAGTTCTCTTGGTGATGAGCGAATCTTCAACTTCGAAAAAGGTTCGAAAATAGTAGAACGGAATGTGGCATATGGCATATCATCGTGAGTGGATGATCATGGGATCATGCTGAGTGCTGGGTGCTCTGTGCCTATGTGTGTGTGTGTGTGTGTGTGTGAGCGGGCAAGAAGTTGACTAGAAATTTCGCTACATATTTTTATAATTGGGAATGCCTTAAGGAGTGCGTATGGAAATGCTCAAAAAGCAGATCTGATCTGATCTGATCTGACCTGATCTAATTGGAATGCCTGCCGTGGAATGTGGCTCTGTTTGTGCGCAATGGCTTTGTCTCTTCTGCTACGCCTATGTATATAACTACGGCTAAGTCCTACAATTAAGTAATCGCATCGCTAAACGAAAAATAGGGCTAAGAGGGGGGGCGATCGGGTCCAAGGATTAATAGTGCTGGAAAACGGAAGTGTCTGTTTGTTGTTGTTGTTGTTGTTGTTGCTGCTGTTGTAGTAGTTGTTGTAGTGGTTCTGGTTGTTCTTGTTGTTGTTCAATTTTAGTAGGAATAATAGAAAGGTTGCCCACCTAAGACAGCGCCAATAATCACTTCAGGCACCTCAACGTTCTTGGTATCCTTGGCGCCCAGATCGCCCGGAGTGGGGCTCTTACTCAAGCCGCCTATCGAGGCGGCGGCGCCCAGTTGCGCACTGGTCACCGTGCCGGTGGCGCCGGTCAGTCCAAAGCTGTTGTTGTTTAGCGAAACGGGCGTGGCGGCGGGCGCAGTGGCCGAGCCGAGATGGCGGAATGAATCGAATTGCACCTCCAGTTGCGACTGCGTGGGCCGATTGGCCGCCGCAGCAGCTGCCGCAGCGGCAGCGTACTCAAAGTTCACCTGCCCAACAGCGCCGAAGACATTGCTGGCCGTGGCCGCTGACGCTGCGGCGGCTGTCTGCTGCTCCAGCGTCGTCACGCCCAGGTAGTTGGCCAGCGTCGGATGCGCCCCATTGGTGTGCGGCACGCCCACGCCCATGCCCAGCACGCCGTACTTGGCCAGCACCCCGAGGGCGGCGCCCACTTCAGTTGTGGCGGTCTCCGAGTATCCAGCGCCGCGCATGGCAAGCTGCGGGTGACGGAATGCCAAGAGGGTCAGATGTATGGTTGATTAGAGCTACTCAGACTACGCACCTTGATGTGATCCAACAGCTGTGTGGCAAACGCCAGGTTGGGCGTCGGATTGGGGGCGCTCAAGTTGAGGGACAAGTTGATGCCCGCATTGCTGACCAGGAGGCTGGCCGCAGTGCCGGCGCCGCCGATGGCCGTGCCCAGCGTGGAGTTCAGCGAGGCGGTGCTTGAGTTGATGGCATTCTGATTGGTGGCATAGGGCGAGCCGGTCGGATTGAAGTTGGCAACGGGTCCGTTCACATCTGCATAGGAGACGTTCAGACATGTGCCCGACTGAGGATCCTCCACGATCTTCGAGAGTATCATCTTGCAAGCGTTCTTGTTGTTTTCCTTGTCGCCGATGATGGTGATGCAGCGCTCCTGCAGCGACACATCCTTTGGTTTCTGCGATATCTGCACATAGGAACCGCTCTCCTCCTTGATCTGCTTGATGAAGGCGCCGCCCTTGCCGATGATCATGCCAGCAGTCGAGTTGGGCACCAATATTTTCACCTGCTTGTCCCGCTCCTGGGCCTGCTTCGATTCGGCATCGATGATCTTTGTGGTCAAGTCGGGCTTCTCCCGGATTTTGTCCATTATGAAGTCGACCACGGTCATGATGCCCTCCACGGAGCCGGTGATGAGGCAGACTCGCTCAGTAGTACCTGAGGGAAAATGGGAAATGGGATACTCGTCATTTTCCACATTCCATTCGGATATGCGGCTACTCAATGCTCACCTGGATAGAAGTCGTGCGATTTGGACATCTTGACTCTAGCACCCGTGTCCTTCTGCAAGGAGGCAATCGTCTCGCCCCCTTTGCCAATGATGGCGCCGGAGGCCACCGCGGGCACCAGGATTTTCATGTGAAATGTGGTATCGCCTGCAAGTGCCGAAAATAAAAACAGATCACAGTGCGACCATGGATTAGTGATTACAGTTGCTTTAGCTCTAAGTAACTGTTACTGCAGTTGGGGTTGCCCAGTTGCCCAGTTGACCAGTTGATCGTGGCGCACATCTGGTAGCTGTTTAGCAGGTTAAAAATTCAAAATAATAACAGCATTCGGTTGTCGTCCGCGCGCAGCTGGACGTTGTTTGAAATCTGAGTTTGGGTATGATGGGGGATAATGGCTTTTGGGGGTGGCTGGTGGGAGGACATGCATTCGACTGTTTACTGTACTGTGTGTTGACTGTGTTGACTGATGTGGTCAATGCTAATGCTAATGCCAATGCTAATGCCAATGCCAATGCCAATGCCAATGTTTATGTTAATGCTGTGGAGTAGTCGGTTTCGGCAAGCCATGAGAGGATGAGGATGCAACACACACAATATGCTGGCGAGACATGAAAAGCTCTAACCCCCCAACCTCCCCTCTCCCAACCCACTAGCAACGGGCCTTAAGCACTTTGGGCTTGAATGTTGGTCAAGCGGTCAGGCGGTCAGATTTGGTCAGTCAGTGATCTGCGGTCAGGGGGGGTCAGAGGCTAATGGGCTGACCCAGCGTAATGTTTGCCCAATGAAAATCAGTTTGCGTTTGTCAGTTAACAAGTTTAGCTCAACTGGGTATTAGAGAAACAGAAATAGATAGAGAGATAGAAAGAGTAAGAGAGATAGATATATACAAAAAGACGAAATTGGGTTTTTCTTTCGGATATCTTTAGACACTTTTCACTGCGTTTCGCATAACAGAGATGAATGTTAATGGTATTTAATGAAAGTATGACAAAGCTTACCATGATGATTATGATTATTGTTATTATTTTCAATTTCAACCTCAATTCCAGAACAAACTGACTCACCTAAAATGAAACAGAGATGGAGAGAAACAAGCATGGCATTAGTTACATTTGTCAATTCACTTGAATTATATATTAGACAACGGCTAAGATATGCAGTGAGCTGACGTCAGTCAAAGTATGTGTATGTGCGTGTGTGTGTGTGTGGGTGGGTGTGTGAGCAGAGTAGAGACTTGACCGCAGCCACATTGCAATCTCATTTCGCTGGCATTCAATATAGCCAGTGCAGTCCGTAGCGCACGGGCGAGTAAACAAATTTCAATTAATAAAATGTGTCAAGCGGAGATGCTCTATTACACAAAACAATCGCTCATAGCGTAACAAATAAAAAACAAGGCTATAAAATCACAAAGAGAAAACATAGAGGCGCATTGAACAGCGGCGTCGTGCAGCTGGTGCACCTGACTTTTTCGCCTCGTCTGTCCACACGCGCCAAGACGCCCCAACCGAGAGTTGAGCGACTTGACGGCTGGGTTTAATTTTAGCCGATGCGCTTGACAGGCCGCGCCCCACCCCTGCCGCTGCCCCTGCCCCTGCCACTACCCCTGCCCCTGCCTGTCGCAGTCAGAATTAAAATCTGTGTCGTCATCTTGTTGCCACTTGAAGCCAAGTGTCCTTCAAAACAATTTCTCTAATTAGATACAAGCGCTGAAATGAGGCGCACATCTGTCACCGAGTGCCAGAAACTAGAACTCTGGGGCTCTTGGCTCTTGTCTCTTGGCTCAGGCCACAAATCATGAGCGAGCCCAAGCCACCCCACACACACACACACACACACACACCTATGTGTGTCAGGTCGTCCCGATGTCTATCAGCTGACCCAGCAGAGGCAAACAAAATTTACTGCACACGCTGTCACCACACAGAAATGTCTAGGCGGACTTTGCAGCGAGCCGCGCTGCGTATACTTGATGTGAACTATTGTCGAGCTCACATTAAGTATACGCAGCATGGTTGTATATGTTATATATGAAAGAGAGATGTGATGTGATGCATGTGTGTGTGTGTATGTGTATGCTTGATGCTTGATTATTATTTCATTATTGATGTTTTCTTTTTTTTTTCAAGATAATTAAATCTTTTGCTAGTTTCAGTTGATTTGCATTTTGTTGATTTTCATTTTTTTATACTTTTTTTTCTTATGACTCGACGGCAGCGCAGATGTTGAGATGGAGACATGGCGTTTGACTGATTGATAGGTTGATCGATTGATTGATTGATGCTATTGTAGTTGTACTTCGGTTGCTCACCGCTTTGTTCGCATAATTGTGAGCAAAATACAGATGCAGAGGGCGAGAGAGCAAGTGTTTTCATTATTATTATTATTTTTTTTTTTTTTTGTGAATTTGTAGATGGATGTGTGTAATATTTAGAAGAAGTCGTGCGCATCATTTAGTTTGTAGTTTCTGAATTTGATAGCGTGTTTTCATCAAACTCACCGTAGCACCAACAGGAGGCAGTCTTATAGCTGGATGTTGCTGCCGTTCCTGATGCAGTTGCAGTTGCTGCTGCTGTTGCTGTTGCACTTGCTGTTGCAGTTGCATTTGCTGTTGCAGCTCCCGTTGTCTCATGTTTACTAAGTTGCTGCTGCTGCTGTTGCGGTTGCTGTAAATGCTGTTGTTGCTGCTGCTGCTGTCCCGCTGCAGCAATTGGCGATGCGCTGCTATCGGGCGAGCCATTGTGACTGGCTGGATGATGCTGCTGCAGTTCCATCTGGTGATAATGATGTTGAGTATTGCTTAGATTAGGATTGCTTTGTGCCTGTTTCAGTGACAGCTGCTGCTGTTGCTTCTGCTGTTGCTTATAGCTAAAGACTGCTAATGAGTATGCAGCGTTGTGAATGATGTTGTTGCCGTAGATGTTACTATTGCTATTGCTATTACTATTGCTGTGGCTGTTGCTGTAGTTGCTATAGTTGCTGAAGCTGCTGCTGCTGCTGCCGCTGCTGCTGCTGGTCAGCGAATGTAATGATGATGGCGATGTTGTTGCTTGTGTTGCTGTTGTTGTCTTGGAATGTTGTCGTGGCTGCTGCTGATAATTCAATTGCGTCATATGCGTGGGCGTTGACTGCTGATATTGCATACTTGCATACTGCTGCAGCTGTTGCTCCAGCTCTAGCTTCAGCTTCAGCTCCAGCTCCAGCCCTAGCTCTAGCTCTTGCTGTTGCTGTTGCTGCTGCTGCTGTGGCAGTTGCTGCTGTGGCTGTTGCATTGCTCTTGCTCCACTTAGATCGGCGCCCATCTGCTGCAATATCTGCTGGGCTGCCACATTTATAATACTTTCCATAGCGTGCGATCGTCACTTGCCGTTTCGATGCTGTTCAAATGTTGTCATTCAGTCTTAAATTTTGCTTTGCGTATGCGACGGAATAATTTGTTTGGTTTTATTTTTATTAATTTTTTAGATTATCAAAATCAATTTTTGGTTTTTACTTTTTTATAGTTTATAGATTTTTAATGTATTTTTCTTTTAATTTTTGATCAATTTGACTGCTGCTGCTCAGTTTAGAACTACTCTACGCGATTCCAATTCAAAAACTTGCACAATAAACGAAAAGAAAAAGAAATATAAATTGTTTTCAATTAAACTTTGTTGTTCTTTGTTTTTGTTCAAATAGTTAATTTGCTGTTGCAATTTCGCTTACAATTTCGTTACATGAAACATACAGAGAAACATTTTGGATTGAGCAGCTTTTACACGAGCCAACAAAGAGAGGCAGAGCGAGAGAGATAGATATATATGTAGAAAGAGAGAGAAGAAACGAAAATTAAATTGGCAGCCTTGATGTTTCTCTCAGAGTATGCTTTTCTCTATCGAGCTGCCAACTTGTCTCTGAGGCTTTGGCTCCCAAATCCTGCTCTCGATTGACGCTCGTGTAAACGCAGCTCTGAGTAGTTGATTTTAGTATGATTTGAATTGATTTGATTCGATTCGATTTGATTCTTTAGGCTAGGCCGTGTGCTGTTTGCTCCGCCCTTGGAAGGAGAATGATGAAGGTGGCGGTGTATAAGTATAGGTCATAGATAGGTTTATAGAGTGGTAGAGCGCCACTTGTTTTTAGTACGTTTTGCAGTGTTTCGAGTTGAGTTGATTTTGAGTTGAGTTGAGTTGAGTTGATTCTGAGTTGAATTTGATTTGCATTGATTTGATTCGAAAGCAGCGCGCTGGATGGATATTGTAGTAGTAGTAGTAGTAGTAGTAGTAGTAGAGTAGTAAGTAGTAGACGATTATGGTGGTGTTCTTTTTTGTTTTCATTGATGACAATCGGGATGTGCTTGGATTCGTATATTTATTTATTTATTGTGTACTTTGCAATGCTTGCGCCATATTCAATGAGCAACAGATCGGTAGACAGCTCCCACACAACACCAAAGACAACAACAACAACAACACATGATAGATAAAGTGACAGAAAAGTAGATAGAGAGAAGGAAATTGTAGTATATATGCATATATCATACATAATATCTAGATGTAATCAAGTATTATGATAGTTACATACACATACATACACACACACATTGACAGTTACATACATAAGAAAATAGAAGAAGTAGATTGATTGATTGATTGATTGATTGACTGATTGACGCCTGCAGTTGCGTTTGGAGTTATGAAGCGGCGGCAACAGCAGCAGATGCAGCAGCAATTGTTGTTCGATTTGAAGTGCGTTGTTAAGAGATTGATCGAGATTGATTGCACGATTGATTGATTGATAGTTTGATTGATTGCCAACAAGCACAGCATCGACTATGATGATTGATCGTTTCTGCACTATGTACACACATCATCGCTTGATGGAAGATGTTATTCAACTACAGATCTCACTTCGCAACTGGATGCTTCTTAGAATTACAAATAATAATAAAACTATGCAGTAAGAGTAATACAGTAGAAGTAGTAGTAGTAGTAGTAGTAGTAGTAGTAGTAGTAGTAGTAGTAGTAAGATGTGGCATGTTTTGATTTGTTTGCAGAATGCATTTGCAGTTTTCAATCTGTGCTAGAGATGGTCTACGTCCATGTATATATAGAGAGAATAAGATAGCAGTTGTTAATGACGAGAGTTACACAACATCCAATAATGGTATGGAAGGTAATGCACTTATACACCTAGGATACGATTACTATGCCAACAGTTTACCATTCAGCGTGTTGATCTTAACTATGGATGGAGTCTGTCTCTCTCTCTCTCTTTCTCTTCCTCTGTTTCTCTCTCTCTCTCTCTCTGTCCACTTCTCTTTCCTTTCAGCTCGGTTCGGCTCAGTTCAGCTCAGCTCAGTTCAGTCCAAATTCTGACTGTGTTGGGAAATTCCAGCTAGAGATGTGTGATCGACGATTATGATAGATGATGGATTCGCCTTCGAGTTTTGTCACTTGTTATTGCGTTATTATTTGAATAAATTCGCCTTTTGCTTTGTCATTTTTGTAATCACAACAGAGTTTTTGCTTTTCTTGTTTTTGTTTTGTTTCTCGTTTTCTTTTATTTCACATTTAAATGTTGTTTTATTGTTTGTGGTTTTATTGGTTTTGCGGAAATGCTGCTGTGCGTTGAAGATAATTGAAATTGATATATTTATACATTTTTGTTTACTATATTAGCAACAACAACAACTACGTGTGTGTCGCCCCAATGAGAGTTGATCGAAATGTATTTCGCTTTTATTTAATTCATATTTTTTGTTTTTGTTTTTCATTTCGTTTAATGCTGTTTCATTTTCAAATTACAAGCACATTTGCATGAATAGAAAGGAATAATAATAACAACAAAAAAGAAAAACTGTGCAAAATAATATCGAAATATATAAATGTGCGGAATGTGTTTAGTGTGAGCCTGGAAATGTTCTGTGTGCAAATGGAGGTGAAAAGTGATTAAATGAGTATAAATTAAAAAAAAAAAAAAAAGTTTATAATAATGCCGAATCGATGATTTCGCCAAGGTTAGTAGATAGATAGATGATAGTAAAATAATGTAGACCTGATGCGCTCGCTGTTCTGTAAAGGGAACATTAGGCCAGCCTCTAATTAGAGCAACTAATTGCCATATAATTAGGCGTATCTGATCAATATTCGTGAAAACAAACGGCGCGTGTTTACGGAAAGCCGACTCCAAATTACCTTGACACATTTGAAGTTTGGTCAATTACAAACTCCAATTCGTGTGGCCAGGAAACGCGAGGAATCGCTTGACTAATTGCAATTACGAGCGAATGAATGAACGAAAAAACAAATACAAATACAAATAAATAAGTATTCGAAATGACGCTGATAATTTGAATGGTCAGCAGAAACCAATGAAATGCAAAGTCAATTACAAAAAAAAAAAAAAAAAAAAAAAACAAAAAACCAAGTTACAACAAAAAATACAAAATAATAATAATAATAATGCGAATGATTTAGAAATCATGTTTCGCTTTTGTTACATAACTAAACGCTGGTTAGCCATACAAAAAATATAAAAAGTGGAAACAAAACACGTTAATATATTGTATTTGAATTCCAGCTCACACACACGCACAAGGTGGGCGTAACAACAACAACAACAACAACAACGACAACTGTGACAGCCACAATGGCCAACTAAATTATGTGTGAGATCATCTTCTTCCAGCCTTAATGACGCTACGGCCCCAATTGATTTATCGTGTAGAAGTCACAACACCATTTCGTTTCAGATCTCGCAAAAAATAAAAGCTGAAGTAGCGGGTATACTTCAACTGGACCTAGCCACGGCACACCTGCTCGAACAGCGCGTTGCCAAACAACAGAAATTAACAACTAGCTGCCAATAGTAGACCCCAACAGTAGCTGCTGCTGCTGCTGCTGCCCTTACACAATGAAGTTGAGCCCACCAGTTGCTAGAGATTTGAAGCAGAAAAGCAAAAAAAAAATCCCCCAAATTTTTGGCTGCATTTATTATTTACGAGCCGTTGCGAGCTGTTTTGCAACAACAACAAAAAAGCAGCAGCAAAAAAAAAAAGTATATGCCTCATTCGTTTGGCTCTCAATGAATGGAGCACCTCGGTTAGCTGTCAAGGTTGCTTCTCTATAGGCATTTCTGGTCTGCTCATTCTCGAGAGCCCACACATACGCTCAAACGCTTTTCAAGGTTATGTTTTGCTCTCCGCTCTTTTAGGCACTACTCCGACAAACTGACAAATTGACAAATTGAAGTGCCTCGGCCTACACACACACACAGCGCACGGTTTTGGTTTATTTTTAGCGCAAACCTTTCATGAGCATTGATTAGCAGAGTCGAGCACGAATCTTGAATACATTTCAATTTATTCAAATAAGAATCTCAAATTAAAAGTCGAACTTTGCCGCCTCCGACTGCTTCTTCGTGTCAATGTCAATAGGTTTATGCACATACATACACACATATATAAATATATGTATATGTTTATATTGTTATTGTGTCCACAGAGTGTGTCTAGTTTTGAATTATTATTGTAGCTGCTGGCATTGAGCTACATTTGTTGCTTGTAGCTGCCTGGCTGGCCTGGCCACAATATCGAATCGAGGGTTTCTCGTAGGCAAATCGTTTTGCTTTTCAACATAATTCACATACTCGTTCGTTTTGAGTTGTTGTTGTTGTTGTTGTTGTGAGTGAGTGACTGAACAAGCTATGTTATCTGACTGATAGAAGTATTCGCACTGCTGCGACTCCCAGCTAATGGCAACTTTCGAAACGAAAATGCGACCTTGACACGACGAGGCGTCGCGACGCACACAAAATGTAAGTCGATTGTCGAGTTGCGCATACGCAGCGTGGACCCACAGACAGAAAGACACAAAGACACGAAGACACAGACACGCATACACACACATATATGTATATACTGTAGCTATCAAATGACGACGCTGCTCATGTGATTATGCACCTAATGAGAAGCACAAATACGAACAAGGCAAATACAAAATTCGATAAAAAAAATTATTAGCTTAGCCGCTGATGTCGGGATGTTGTCATTGGGCGAATTGCAGCGACGATGCTAATTAACAAGGTCATTGAGAACTGTTTTCCTGCTATGTATAATAGTGTATCTCTCTCTGTGTGTGTGTGTGAGTATAACTTAAAACTGCACTTGCAAACACATACAGAATTGTAGCGGCAGCGGCGTCAGCGATTCTGGCTGCGACTGATGATGATGGTGCGGCGGCTGTTGCTGCGTTCTGGCAAACAACATGCTGGTTAGTTGACAGCCAACTCGATTCTGTTAACAAAATGGCTGTGCGGACAAAAGGCGACAACAACTGCGGACGAGGCGAGACAAGAAGCGAGACGAGAAGCGAGAAGCGAAAAGCGAGCGAGCACTGAACGAAATGAACGACGATCGGCAACGGCGCGCGCTGAAATCGCACTGAAGAATTTTGTAGGTCCGTGGCGCACAAGCGAAACGCCGCTGGAGACGGAGAGACAGAGAGCGAGAGAGAGAGAGAGAGAGAGAGAGCAAGACAGAGAGACAGAGATACAGAGCTGGAGCCAGTCACAGAGCAGCGCGACAGCGTCCAAGCTAGCCCAAAAGCACAGAGTTCAAATGCGTGAGCGAGTGTGCGAGAGAGAGGCAGAAGGGGAGCGAGAGAGAGAGAGTGAGAGCACAGCAAGTGCGATTGAAGAGAGAGAGCAAGAGGGTGATCCAAATGAGTCAGGCAATGCGATCATAAACAGCCTCTGTGTGTGTGTGAGTGTGTGTGGGTACGCGTGTATGTGTGTGCATATGTTTTGCTATATATATATATGTGTGTGTGAGAGCAGAGCGCGCTTATGATCTAATGGGCGGCTTTTTGACGTTGGCTAACTTTAAAAACAATTTGTTGTTTATTTTTTTCATTTTTATATAGTTTGCTTAGTTTGACTTTTTAGCTGCTGCCCTTTATCAGTCGAGGAGTTGAGACTCGAACTAAAATAGAAAATGCTATTATACACATATATATATATATATAAGTATGTATGTATTGCGGTAGGGGCAGATAAGCTAAAGAGATACAGCGCAGCACAACGTGTCATGTTTTTGAAGCGAGCAGAAAAACTTCATTGGAACTTCGATTGCTATTTGATGAGGATGATGATGATGATGATGATGATGACACAACACACGACTCATATACATGCACAATTATATATAGAGAGAGAGAGGGGGAGAGGAAAAGCGAGCTACAATCGAAATCTGTTTTGATATAATGACTTTCCTCATGTGCTTTGCTTTAGTTCTAAAGATTCTTGAAGTTCTACCTGCTTCTCAGTTGGAAATTCACTTATCTGAGGCAGAGTGATTAATAGTTTGTTAATAGTTTAAGATGAGAGAGCTGGATATATATAAATAGAAATAGTCGACAGCTGCACAATTGGCGTATGCGTGATTTACCGCAAATTGCTCATTCGCCTCGTGGTCGCATTTGCTCCTTAACTAACAGCAATGGTCTCAAGTGCATCTGGCCTCGTGGCACCGACGTGACCCACTTCGAGCTGCACAAAAGCTGAAAACGAAAGCTAAGCTAAGCCTGGGTCGACCTATCGATAAGCGTGCTCGTGCCGCTTTTGAGGGCAAAGTATTAGGCGGAAACTGCACAGGCAGAGGAACAGTGGCAGACAGTGAGGCAGTGGGACAGAGGCAGCCACTTGCCACCTAACTAACCAACATGATACTCGAGCTATTAGTAGGCCACTTGAGATGCTTCACAAGTGCAGCACACGGCAACAGCGACAACAACAACAACAGCGGCAACACTTGAGCTGCAACAAAGGAATCTGCTAAGAATAAGGTAACCCAAAAATATATATCCAGAGAGCAGCCGAGAGAGAGTGCGCCCACGCACGGGTCGGACGGAAAGCCCGCAGGCATTAAACGCACTTGAAGTGGCCACGCGATAGGCGAGATTCCACAGCCGACAGGGGGCAGGCGGCAGGCGGCAGCATCGCTATTTCAGTCTGCATAAGTGGCCAAGGTGTAACCCATATTCAGTGCAAGTGTTGTTTTTTTTTCTTCCTCTCTCTCTCTTTCTCTCTCTCTCTCTCTCTGTGTGTATGCTCAAGGACGTTGCCGTGTTGGCTCGGCTGCTGCAGCTGCGGCTGTCGGCTGCAATTTCGTCCAATACTGCAGTGCAGCAGACAACGCAGTCTTTTGCACGGCTACTGCGCAAGACCTTGTCTAGGCAATGGTTATATGCCCCCCCCCCCACACACACACACACATATACAGATGCACACGCACACTCGGGAACTCGCACATTGTCAACGAAGTAGGTCAACAGCGCTGTCAACGCAGCAGCAGCCGCACTACCAATCACGCGCTCTCTCTCTCTCTCTCTCTCTCTATCCGCTCTCTCTCTCCCTAGCCCTTTTTATCTCTCTCTCTCTTTTCTCTGGCCCCAGCTCGGCTCTTGGCTCGGCCTCTCTGTTGCCCTGCGCATCTATTTTCAAGCTAGCTCTATCAGCTCTATGATTACGTAACACACAGCGACACACATGTTCGTTTGGTCGCCCCACAAGGCAGCTCCATGTCCACCCCCGCGCTCCTATGACGCTCACTCTATTTATTGACTTGCATCCTGCGCATCGTGCAGGCCAGGCGAAATCCCTTTTGCGTTGCATTCTAATTTAAGACAGCTTTAAACTGGTTTCCAAAAACCGCATCCCATTCGTTTTCTAGCGAGCGCAAACAAGAGAACGAAATAAATATTAATAAATGGCTGGCTGTCAAGGCAGCTAAACAAATAAATTGTTTGAAAACTAATAAACAATATTTCTCTAAGTATGTTTGTCTGTGTATGCGTGTGTGTGTGTGTGTGTCTGTATGCACTTATACATTTATAATCAAACACATTTGACACATGCCATGGACCTGTTCTACGTCCACCAATGACGGGAGCAACAGAAATAACAAAACTTTATACATACATACAAACAGACATACAGACATTTATAGATGTATAGAGAAATATATGAATGGTAGTTAATTACCAGCAATGCCAATAACAACGTCAACAAAATCTACTTCACATTCGAGGGCAGGTTTACGAGTTTACAAAAATATTGTTTCTACTTAAAAAAAAAAAGGGCATAAATGAAAATTTTTACAAAAAACAGCTAAATACATAGCTACAATATCTGAAATAATATAAATACAATAAATATCTTAATTTATGAATCAAAATATGTTATTCTTAATATTCGTTGCAACTTGTTAACAAATAATATTTTGTTTAATACGAAATTTTATCAAATGCGCTAATATTTTCATGAAATTATTCTCCCATATCTCAATTGATGATTCAGAATTTTAAAAAGTTAAGTTTAAATTGGGTAAAAGTATTCGTCTCAGATAAAAAGATAAATCCAAGCCTCAAACTATACCAAATATCGTAAGTCTCGCTCGTGAAATTCATGATATGTGCACAAATAACCAGGCTAAGATGTTAATCCTGCTCAAAAATATACACATATATATATATATATATATATATATATATATATATATATATATATACATACACAGCTTCGTCCAGCCGTTACATAAGTTTAGCAAAATCAATAGAACCCAGCTCGTATTATATTGCACTATGCGATGTCGAATTTCATCATCGTCATCTCCAATATAATTATTATAATTGGTAATAGTGACAATAAAACTTTACTTTTATAATTATATATTATAATTAAACATATTTTCTGTAGTACAAGAATTAAATTAAATCAAAATAAATTTCAGTTAATCTATAGGTTAATTATATTACATCTCCATATTTCCCTTAACAAAATAATGAAACTATAATGCTAGCTCTTAAAAAATATTAGTCTATCTATAGGTACGTCTGTATAATATCTACTACTCCAGACATTTTGTCATCAATTTTTAGTTCTACTGCTGTGCGGGCATAACACGAATTTGCTTTATAGGGTAGAACGACAGGTTTCGAAATGTCTTGAGCAGGCATTAGTCGGTCAGTTGTTTAGCACGCTTCTGAGCACTAATCAGAAATTCCAAAAAAAGAAGAAGAAAACAAAAAACAACAAAGAAAATGCAAAACAACAAAACGTGTTTTTTTGGCTTAGCTAACACACACACAGAGAGAGAGAGAGAGAGAGAGAGAGAGAGACTCACTCACACACAGTCGCCACACAGTCAAGTATTCTCAAACTAAAAGTCAAATGTTAAGCAGGTGTCGAGCAGACAAAAAACAAATCAGAAAACACGAAAATAAAACCGCCTCTCCGATTCACAGTCTCTGCTATTTATATGTCTTTGACGGCGATGACGAGACAGCAACAAAAAACAAACAACAACGCAGAACGCGACGCGATATGATGCGATGCGATGCGATTCGATGCGATGCCATGCGAGGACAGGTAGAGGTAGAGGTAGAGGTGGTAGAGGTAGAGGTGGAGGTGATAGAGGTAGTTGGATTACGTTGCGGCTCACCTTGAAGGCGGCGGGTTGCCAGAGTGGCACAAGCAATCAAGCAAAGCGGCCAAAGCAGCTACGCCTCCCCTCCCCCTCCTGCTCCGCCTCCTCCTCCTCCTCCGCCTCCTCCTCCGCTACGCTGTGTTGTCATAATTTGAATTTTAGATGATTTGCATATTGAGAAGCCCACCAAAGGGTGGACAGCTGATGCAGCTACTTTGCACAGAAGCGATAACCGAATGCCAAAAGAGGCTATCAGCAATGTGGGTCAATTCGGGGTCAACTATCCTAGCAGTCAGTCAGAGGCGTGGGCAGCAGGGCGTATGCGCAATGCGATTTTGCACTCAACAAAACAGGTCCGGGTCCGGGTCCGGGTCGAGTTAGTCACAGCCAATTGCTGACGTGATTTGTGAGTTGGCCAATTAAAAGATGACAGTGGCAAAACGGCAGAAACTCGTATTAAATTAAAACTTAAATAGTAAACTAAAAAACAACTAAAAACGTAAAGTAAAGCCAACAAGCTTGACAGCAATGCTTAGATAGGTCGAAATTTCTTTTCTTTTTTTTTGTTTGGCATGAGGTACAATATTTACACGTTTTGCGGCGATTCGTAAGGAGTGAGAAGTGGGTCAGTGAATTTAGATAGATAGATTGAGATAGATAAATTAGATAGTTCGATAGATAGATTGATAGTTAGAGACAAGGAGCACGATAATGATAGTAGTATATGTAAAAGCGATTGAAATTTGCTTATTTCACATTTCGTACTTTTGGATTTTTGTTTTGGGGTTTTTTGTTTTTATATTTTTTTCGATTTTGTTTTTTTGTTTTTCAAATGATTGCAAAACTTACCGGAACTGAAATGTGAGCGTTTAGTTTGTTCATTTTCCGGATCTGAATCGAGCGGCCTTTTGCGTGAGTCGCCCATCTCAGGACTTGGACATGTCTCCATGGCAGCGTCTTCGGCCATTTTTAATTGAATGTTGCTGGCTTTTGTTTGAATTGTTATAAGATTTATATTCGGCTTGTACTGCGATTGCTTCGCTTTAGCTTTAGCTTTAGCTTTAGCTTTTTCTTTAGCTTTTTCTGTTTTCTTTTGCTTTTCTTTCCGTTTGCCTTGAGCTTGAGGAGTGGACTCTTATTGTTTGCTTTTGGCTAAGGAGGCTTTGGTTCTGGTCAGAGCTCTTGTCAAAGCGAACGAGCGATCGATCGATCTAGATCGATGTTTGATCTAGGGAATAGAGACGCTTCTATATGAGCGTGTCTTCAATTCGCATCTGAGAGGACAAGGCAGCTTTATTTATCGCTGCCTCGGTTTCTGTTCGCTGCTGATGAAGAATCCTCTTTGGCTCTAATGATCCTTATTCACACAGACGCACATATACACACGCTCGCGAGCTGAAGGCAATATGCATATGCGGTCGGGCGAATTACAATTACAAGTCTTTGAACTTTGAGTCAAGCCTCTAAATGTAATATAAGTATATGATGATCGTGTAGTCCTTCTAGATTTATTCGTTTTGTTTATTATTGTTATTTGTTTGATTTTTTAATTAGATTTTTTTATTTTATATTTGAGGTGGTGGAATGTGCGAGTTGTATTTTTTTTTTTTTTTTGGTAAACGTTTATATGAAAAAAGAAAAAGAAAAAAATATTTATGAGTGAATTATGCAGCAATAATAAATATACATACATACAGTAAACATTTAGGCATCATATGTAAAAATGTATAATATAGTTAAATGCGTATCAACATTATAAAGAATGCACTTCTCAAATAGGGAAGCACCAAATGTGATTCTAGAGAGTCCAGAACTGAGAACTGAGAACTGAGTATTGAGAGTCAAAAAGGTTTAGAATTGAGAATTGATGACAAGTTTGATAACATTTACAATTTAGATGAACACAAAACACTTGTTCATTAATGTCTATATTTATATATATATATATATATACAAAATGAGCGCCATTTTGTGAGGTGGGTTCTTGGTTCAAAGCGGATCATTCAATTGAGAGGCTGTTGGCGGTTGCATTGCGTTGGCTTTGGCTATGGCTATGGCTATGGGAGAGGTCAAAGGGGTCAGGCAGGCAAATGTGAACGATGCAACAAGACAACACTTAGTTTTTATTAGCTAGAAATAAGCAATGATCATGTCAATGTCTGCGTGTGTTTCTGTATATCTTACTCTTACTGAGTGTGTGTGTGTGTGTGTGTGTTTGTTTGTTTGTGTGTGAAAACAAGCAGACAACAGCAAGATGAGTCAAAAATTATCAAAACTGCCAACGAACAGTCATTGAAATACAAACTATTTGTAGGCAAACACTTAACGAACTTGAAGAGAGAAAAAAGGTTTCGGTTTATTATGAAATGATTGCGTGGAAGATATGACTGAATCAAGTTAAAGTTCGGAAAAGCTTCAGTTCAATTCGTTTAAATTCTGTCCATTGTAGTCACAGTCTTAGGATAACATTTCATGATCGCGATTCAATCAAATTTCTCTTTGTTTAAATTAAAATGTCACATTTTAGTATTCGAAATTTAAATTGCAAATAATAATATTTTCATAAATCTCTGTTGCATTCCTAATCTTAACTATGGCATATTGTGGCTGAAATGTTACTCAGTCAACAACATAAAAGAAAATAATATTAAGTATTCTTATCACAAGATTGTATATCAGCGAACCGTTAACTGTTGAGCGTCTCTTAACAAAAAACTCTTGGCTTAAAATTGCATAAGTAAATAAGTATGTTTAAAATATTTTAAATACGTATTAAATACATATATATCCAGGTTGCTTCGTTCTATGGCATCGGGGCATAAAGAAGATTCACTTGCCTAGCTCCCAAATCCTTTATTCATATGAGGGATTAGCAGCCTGAACAACCCACTCTTTTTCTTGGTGATTAATTGATGATCTTTATATGTCCCTCACGTGTCGTCAATTCAAATCACTGAATAGCTGCACTGCAGTCAGTCTAATTTATGCCTCCCATATCTCAAATTTATACTCCCACAACAATTAGTAACAAACAACAATTTCCGAAAAGGGTATTATTATTTTTAAGTACCATAAATGTATAGAAAACCCCAAAAGCAAATATATTTATATACGTAAAACATATGTATATATATCAGGATATATTAATATATGTATTTAAATATATTCATATATTGATATATTGATCATTGATTAGTAAGACATAAAAATCTTGGCATAGATGACGTTTTTATTGGCGCTCTGCTCTGAGAATTATAACTTGCAACTCAATTATGCATGAGTTGGTTTCTTTTCATGATTTCATCGGTAATTAAATATGCGCTAACATCATCAACAGCAACAACAACAGCAACAACAACAGCAACAACAACAGCAGCAACAACAGCAAATGACATTTAATTATACAAATATTTTGTACGTGCTTATTGTTGTTGTTGTTTCTATTGCTACGGGCCAACACTTCAGTAAGAGCACTCGGACTGCGTGTTTCGCCTGAGTATATACATATGTATATGCATATGTACGTATGTGTGTATCACTGTGTGAGTGTGTGTGTTTGATTTGACTGCAAACGACCTTGACCATTAAATAAATTGCTGTACGCTAAACAGTGACTGCAAAGCAAAATAAGCAATAAATCGACGAGATGGCAACGCTGCAAAACAACAATAACAACAACCTCAACAACAACAACAGAAGCGGCACCAATAGGAGCAACAACAACAACAACAATGACAACGATATGCACACAAGGCAAATATATTTTTGAATGCAAGCAGAGCAAAAGTATCTTTGGCACGCCAAATTCGCACTATGAGATACTTTTTGTTTGTTTGTGTTGTACTCATATACATACATACATATGTATATGTGTGTGTGCATACGTATGAATATATATTTTATATATTTTTATTGTGTTTGTGCTTTGCTGGCTTTTATAGAACCTGTCACGACAGCCAATAAAATAATAATAATAATAATAATAATAATAATAATAATGAAGAGACGCACACATTTGCATTCACCTCAGAAATTAGTAAGCAACGCGACGATGCCGAAGCAGAAGCAGCAGAAAACTAGTGAATTACTTGAATTCGATGCTGCCGCAAAACGAGTTTCTCACTTGAGGCAGGTGATTGCAGCTCGGGGTGTCGAGGGGGGAGAGACAAATCTCGAGAACCAGTTACTTTTGCGCGCTTAGAAATTAAATAATACAATTAATTAATATATTGATTGGCAGCAGCAGGAATCCCAACTTAGCTCTGAGATAATTTCAATATAAATATATTCATATAACAAATTTTCTTCTTTAGAGCTTCCAGACTTGTCGTACTTTAATATTGAATAAAATAATTCAATTTTATTTGACTTTCATATAAGAATATATAGTTGTTGTAATCCACATTCCATTTCGAGAATCAAAATTTCAACTTCATAAATAATTTTAAATAAATTTCAAATTTAGAAAATTGCTAAAAACTGTTTAAGCATGTGATTTATAAAGCAAGTGAACGAGAGAGAGAGAGAGAGAGTGAGAAAGAGGGCGAGCGGAGAGGGAAAGGTGCAGATGTCGTCGGTTGCATCGTCCTCAACGTCTCAACTGATGCACTCAAGCCGAAAATGTGTTAATGATGATGAATACGAAACAGCTGCTGCCTCTGCTGCTGCCTCTGCCTCTGCCTCTGCCTCTGCCTCTACCTCTGCTGCTTGGGGCTTGTGCATTATAAAGAATTTCATTCAATCAGAGCGAGGACTTTTGCGTGCTGCCACAAATTAAAAGCGAATGCAATCAACTTTGCTTTGCTCGTTACTATTGCATTATTTCAATGACAAGAACTGATTTCCAAATGCAATGAGAAACGGGACTTTTATAAAAAGAGCAGATTATTTTTTGGATTCTATAAACTTTTTAATCGATGAATGACCTAAAAGATGATTGCTCTGCAATATTGTATATCAAATGTAAAATGTATCTATGATGAAAGGAATGTAAAATAATTAAATATAATATTCAGCAAAAAGATACATTTCATCTTTTAACATGGTTCTTGTCAGTAAACTCTTAATTTGTTGTTTTCGAATACAATAATATAAATAAACATTTTTAAAGATACATTTACTGAGAAATTAAGAGAAAATTTATTTTAATTTATTGAAAAGAAGAATGAAAATTGTTGTATCTCTACCATATTGTATAGTAAATCAGATAAAATAATCTATGAATATCAGCTAAAGCCTAAATTAATGGGTAACTGGAAAAATTAGAGGTCTTCTCCCCAAATTTTGATAGTTGTATATACAGGTAATACTCAAGCCAAGCTGCATTCGAGTTTTTTTTAGAGTCAGGCCACGCTTAATATAATATATTCAATTTTCGTCAAGGTTACTAAACATTCAATGATATAAAGTGACAATATGAATTTGAATTTACATTGAGAAACGTTAACGAAATCAGTTTTCAATAGCTGCAAAAGCCTTGATTTGAATGCTCAAAGCTTAATGCGGCCAAAGTTGAAGCTTTGAATACGTTTAAATATATTTACAGCCGTAAAAAGTGTCTAGTGGAAACAATACGCCGTACAGCTCTACAGCTCTGCACGTATATAAACAATTTTTATATTTTTATAGCTATATCTACAGCGTATTTCAGCTGACTTTTACTACACTTTTGGTATAGCTAGTTTCGTATATGGCAAATGCAGATCCCGAAGGCATACGAAATATGTTCAATCTTATCTCAACTTGAAGCACTTATCGGAACAGCGGAGGCAAATGCGATAAGGTTTTTTATTTATATACATTATATAGAAATGAGGTTGTTTTTTTTTCTTATTTTATTTTTACCCAAGCGCACGCTGATAAGGCATTCGAAAAACACCAGAAACCAGAGAGCAGAAAGTGGTTCAGAAAAATGTTAAATATTAGAAGAAACACAATTA